GTGGTGTACGAGGAAAAAAATTGCCGCGGGGTATCGTATTGCCGTCCCCGCGGACCCTTATTATATGAAGCGCGCAACAAAACCATTGTGTGATTATTTGTCCCTTTGACGGATGACGGTAATTGCCAGAAAAAATGCGTGTTTCGAGTGCTTTCTAATAAGCTTGTCACTCGATCAGATGTGCTGTTTCGATAGCGGTCTTAACTTTTACTGGCCATACTTACCCACTTGAAATGGCATTGTTCTTGCTGGCGTATGCACACAACAATAGTAATAACAATAATAAAAAGAAGCGAAAATATAATAGCGTGCAGATACATTTTGACTCTTTAGCTTCTATACACGCGCAAAACGATCGTTATCTACCTACTTACTTTAGCCGGCGGGTACTTCTCTCAATCGTTTGCCGCGTAAGCACATTATCGTTTAGCGGTCCAACAACGGGTTAGCACGCTCGGGGTACATATCAATGAGTTTAGAAGTAATGTGAAATGAGCAACGCTCGAAACAATATAGACATAACCACCGACGACCATTAACCGCTATTTTTCGCACTCGAGCGAAATTCCCGTTTGTAATTTGTAACATAATTGTTCCTAGAGTTGTGCGAGTCGAGAGTGCGGGGTGGTGGTTTTTGGATCAACCGCAAACTGAATTAGTCGGACAGTGACAAGTTTATATTGCCAGTTGACGTACGACAGATCAATTTTATTATTTTTATTGATCGTAAATAAAAACTATAGAATACCTAATTTTTTAGTTTTATTATGTTTTTGCGCGACAACACGTGTGAGTAATCTGGTACGCCAATACTTAAAATCTCATTCATGTCATTTATGTGTACTACACCTTGTGACATCCGTAGGGTGTTGAGTTATGGCATCCTATTTTTATGGAATGCTCTTCAATACATCGTAACTCTAAGCGGTTACTTCGACATTTTATGTTCTTTCGGATACAAGTTCTTTATTTTACTTTTTTAGATGTGTTCCGCTTTGACGGCCATTATAGAACAACAATGAGCAATAAATAAATAGCTTATTTCATATCACTTGAGATATTGAAATACGAACTTTGGTTGAAACATTTATAAGCTGCAACTTTGTGAGTCGGTCTGAAACGAAAATCGACAAGAGTGCACTATTTTATGTGGGTTTAGTAAAGAATATAATAAGATAAAAGTTTTTACTATCGTAAATTACATACTTTTTTAAAATCAATGGACATAAAACGATACTTTCAATGATGATTCATTTGACGACATTTCACGTTTTTTGTTCGTTTTATCTGAAGTTTCGTGATAAAAACTGTACGTTTCTATTGTAATAAATTTCTGCATAAGATTGTTTGAAACTGTTCATATTATTGAGATGAGCGATTTGTTGGCGCGGATTTTCATGTCGCGTAATTGAAATGCACTTTATCTGCTGAAACATTCTGTCAAAGTTGAACGCTATTCCTCGGGGACAAAGACCCGACATCATTTCTGGTACCGACTATATGCATACAAACTATGACGAGCAGCAGGTACAGTAACTATAAGTTGGCATTTTCGGTTGCTTGGCCGGCGCACATTATAAATTCAAACAAAGCCAAGAAGCACAGCTTTCAAAATTGCCATATCGAAGTGTGGAGAAACCCGAACAGCACTGTCCTCTCTTCAAACTTAGACGTAGGTATACGCACGCAAATATAAATAGCGTTGACGGCACGATGGATGTGAGCAGGGTAAAGTTAGCTAAGTCAGGAGCCGGTAGCTTTTAACTAAACGGACAACACCCCTGTCCCGAACCTCTGCGCCTAGCCCACGTGATAATAACCGCTCCCGGACCCGGCGATGATGGATGACCCTCCTAAACGATTACCACTTCATCCTCGTACAAAGTTTGCTAGCTCTTTAGCAGTCATCTCGTCATCCATTTGCTCGAAAATCTCTGCAGTCACTCTGACCGGACTTGGATTACACATTTTACCTAGATTACACTTAGATTCGCCTAATTTTTTACGAGAAACTATAAAACGCTTAAATAATTCATGTTTAATATAACTAACGTTTTGCGCGCGTCGTGTACAAATTTATAATAATTCATAAATTTTACAAGTATTATTTTGTATTGTAGGCGATACTGTCATTTGCCGCATTACACCAATATAAATTATACATTACGACCTTGTTTATCAAATAGCTGGAGAAAAAAACGTATTTCATATTTGTGTGACAAAATACACTGTAGTATGTTTACTGGGGTCTCGGCGAGTCGACTGTATCGACTGAAAACAAATTTTCTGGTCAACTAAACGATTTCCGTAATATTTCCAACGGTTTCCTAGCGCAAAAGTATCACATAAGCCGAAGCAAAAGAGAAACGATTGTGGTGGTTGATGGTCGTGCTGGAAGAAGGGTGGAAAGAGCGAATGAGAGAAAATATCGTATTTATACGGATGGTTGAATGTCACGCGGGTCTGAAAATAGCCCCATATATTTCCTCCGCAATGCGCCGGGGAGACTTTATTTTCGACCAGTCAAAAGTCTCGGACCGATAGACAGGGTGAAGACGGGCGTTGTTACATGATGGCGGGAGGTGAGGATACGTTTCCTCCGACTTTTTGATCCGGACTAAATTGGATGTCCACATGCACTCTCTTCCTCTATCGCCGAGGCACTAGCAGCAGTACGGCAAGCAGCCTTTGAGCTTTTCGTTATATATTTTTTTCTTGCTCCTTTTTTCTTATTATTATCCACGTCGGACAAGCCCTCTACCCTCGTCGCAGCCGACTTTTATATATTTCGGTACCAGAGTTTCATTTTCTCTGGAGTCGGATTATACGGTTAAAGATAGGTACTCTGGTGGAAAACGTATAGAAAAATCCTCTTTAGCGTATAAGAGGAAAAAAAGAGAATATATATTTTTCAATTTTCTTTCAAACCAACAGTCCGTACTCCAGGAGAACATACTGAATTTTATTAAGTAGACACACCGGTATAATATAAAAACTACTACTGCTCGTTATATTCTAACGCACAGAGTATGTCCTTTCAAATGATACGGCAAAGATTTTACATTTTTACATCCAACGAAAATTGAAATCTAAACAAAGCTAAAGAAAAACGAGCATACCACTAGTTTATTTTAAACCAATCTAAATATATAAGTGGAAAAATATTCAGATCGGTTTAGTTAATGTCGCAATTTACTATTCGCTATTTGGCAGGAAAATAATTAATACATTTGAGAATATGGAAGTTATTTAATTTTTTGTGTCACTCTTTGAATAATTCTAAAAAAATATCCAATATTAAAACTAAAAAATTTCTATTGATTTTAAATGATTGTCAATTTTCCTAAAGTTTAAAAAAAAAATGAAAATGTAAAGTTGTTATAACAATTACAATTATTTTTATTATTATTATTTTTTGTGATAAAGAATGGTTTTATATTAAGTTATAGATCTAGATGAAAACTGTTGAAACTCAACAAATTTTGAATGTTGAGAAAGATACAGCGGACTTTCTGTGTTTTTCATTAATCAAATGATTAATCTCCTTCCAAAGATTTTTTTTTTTTTATTACAACGGTTTTGATCAAGGTGTGCAATGTTATTAAAATATCTACATTTCATTAGTTTTTATTACCTACCTGTTTTACTCAAGTATTTGCGGGATTTTGCTTTTATAATAAACTATTTCTACCCTAAGTATAAGGATCGTGTTTATCAAACGTCGTGTTGCCGACTCTGTGAAATTTAAGCGCCTTCTTTACCCCTAATGCGGCCGACCCTCCCGATCTAGATCTTCGTTATAAGAGTGCGGTAACTCTCGCATGTCCACAAGAATGTTTTTGTTTATTTTGGATTCCCATAGCGTATGGCTAAAGAAATTCCTAAACGATTTTCATTACAAAACTCGCTGTATAGTTTTATTATATTATTATAACAGTTTTATTGAAACTAAAAACAAAATTTTAAGTTTATATAAAAAACGTGGTACAATGTGGAACAAAATATGAATACAGTGAAGTTTGTTTTATATACATTTTTTCACACGTTAAAATCCTATCTAAAAGCGTGAATTTAGAACGTGAACAGTTTAAATTTAAAATGAAAAAAAGGATAATAATCCAAACGGAAAAAATATAATATGAAAGTCGCAAATAATCTGACAAATTGAAAATTGTATTTTTACATTGCTTTTTAATCATATTATAAAAATTGATAATTTGTGGCTAATATAATTAAACATTTTTTAAAGTCAGTTTGCTGTTGAAATCGATTTTTTACAGACGATTAGGTGATATTTGGTAAATCAGTGTTTAAATTAAACATTTAAAGGATTATCTTTTCTATGGTGTAGTAGTAATATTTAAAACTGTCGGATATGTTTTATTGGTAGAAACTATTTTGTATAGCAAAATGCAATTAGATAGTGTGCATGCTTGAAGGGAGTACTCCACGCAGAACAATAATTACATCAAGTTTTTGATGGATTGCCTGCGAGTTAAAAATAATAAAAAAGGTTAATAATAAAAAATTTAGAGTTGAATTTATAAAGGATTAGGCCACTAAAGACGCAATCAAATATACTGTTCAACGCTCACACATTAAAATTCCAGTTATTGTTCGTTAATAAAATACTATTCTTTTCTAACAGGAAACTACTGTACAGGCATTGTAAATATACTTTATAGGGGTTAAAATCCGTCTGCAGGTAGCTGGTTGTTTAAAAGGAGAAAGAGGGCACATACTCATAATATGCGTACATGCATAGTGTTTTTACATAACATCATCGTCGTCACCGCCACATAAAACGGGGAATACCGGGGAACCGAAGATAAAGGGTTAATGTTCAAAATTTTAAAGGCCCGTGGTGGCACAGGAGGAGGGGTTGACACACATGAGAAAAAAGGTACCTTTTGTGTTACCCGGCACAGATGTGTCAGTAGGTTTTATATAAAAAAACCCACTATGTTTGGGGAAGTAATTTTTGTAGAGGAAGGGTTAAATCCAGGTACACGGCACGTAAGACCTGTTTGTATGCGGTAGTATTAGTTCGCCGGTCGTTTGGATTACATTTCATATAAAAACTAGTTCATCAACAAGGAAGTAAAAATGAGGAAGTACAAACCAAAAAGCATAAACGAATTTTATAAAAATTATAATACACAAAATTGTTTAATAATCGAATTCACTGCGAGAATATTGTCAGACAATTTATTTTTCGAATGAATTTAACTTCTTTGAAACAAGGGTAAGTTAATAACTATTTAATAACAATTAACTTTAAAATTGTTTCAATTATTTTCACAATACTGCCAAAAGAACTAATTAATTTTTTTAGTTATATTTATTAAGAACGCTTAAATTTTTACAATAATCTTATGTATAACTAAAATAAATACTATCGTAAATTATTTTTAAAATACTAATAAAATTTTTATTATGTGTATTTAACCGATTATTTAATTAATTAAATTTTTCTGTTAGTAAAATACATTGAAAATGGGTTTAACCTAAAAATAAGTAATGAACCACAACGAGCATTTTCTTAAATGTTAGATAAAACGAAATTAAAGATGATTTGAAATTATAAATTATTTTATCCTGCAATTTCTATTGAATATAAAAAATTTGAAAAAGATATCAGAACTTTACAGGATACACGAATTATTCAAATTTAAATTTATATCAATAGACAGTATTTGTATACAATCATCTCGTGATCGATTATCATATACACTCAAAACTTGTTGCACCATTTCTTGAACTTGTCTAACATAATAAATTATATTTTATTACTATCAAAAAAGTAATAAAATATAATTGGCGAGCTATAATATTACTATAAATTGAAAGCTGTATATATGTATAAATGTTATTTATTTTTGTTCATAATTAAATTAATCAAAAAACTAAAAAATTAAATTAAGTCTGTTTATATGCAATTATGTGGATTATTATTAAATATTGCAAATATTAAACGCGTTATCAAATGAAATGTGTACTGAATATTTCGAATTCTTTAATTTTGTTTAATCTGTTAGTATTCGACAAAATTTTAAGACATTAAGAGTAATACTCATAATTTTTTTTTAAATCGTTTAACTCTAATTTGGAGATTTATTCTACTTTGTTGTTATATTTTTTAAAAACTTTTCGGATTTTTTTATCGTTTATAATTTTTATTTTCGGCCCGAATCATCTCCACTCAGTTTTATTTTTATGACAATTTATTTTTTATGTTAGTGCACAATTTATTATAGCACATGAATATACACATTTAATAGAAATGTAAATTTAACTGTTGAGTTTACATTTAGTTTAGTTTAAAGGACTCTTGCGCTTTTTGACTATTTATATTTGTTGCTATTAAAAATTATAGTAAAATATACAATATCAGCGAAGAGACACATCGTGTGGCGATTTCTAATACAACGCAATGTGGAGTAGCCAAATGCATTTCGTTATCATTTAAATATGTCTGACTGGAAAATTTTGTGCTAAAAATTATTGTGGAAGCCAACGCATAAGAAAAATGTATAGTTTTCTTATGGCCATTGAGTCGCTCCCGCGCTGTTTAACCCAACAAATAACCACAGTGGTCGCGCACACACTAACGTTTTCCAAACTTGAATAATAATTTATGTTGAACGAGTTTGGCACGTTAAGAGCTGCCAACTCCACACTTACCGGGCGAAGGTACTTTTCTTAGAAAGACCCATGTGTGCGCATATACTTTGCGGTATATATGTATACTTAAACAACTGAAACAATTTTCCGGAAGCTTTTCCGAAGCCCCCTCCCGTCCCTGAACTTGCTCTACACTTAGGTAAACACTATTTTCACACTCTTAGCCTTCTTCGTCGGAAACAACGGCCCATTAAAGACCCAACGATTGTATGAAGTGGTCGGTAAACGAATTGGAAACAAAAATAAAAAAAACACCACACTTTTTATAGACCAACTCTATTAACGTCAATATACAAAGCCATGTATATGTTATTTTCTTTTCGATTTCTCCGGTTGCCGTTTCAAGTCCTTACATATACGTTGTCGATACAATGTTTAAACACGAACACATCAAACATTTTTTATAGCGCATGTGACCTGCACTATCTATTCATGTTAGCCCGTTTGCATGTTACACTTCACAAATTCTATTTTGGCACAACTTATTATTGTGTTTTTATAATTTTGGCAATGTAAATGTAAAAGATGTGAGGGCGATGGGTCATTATTGTTAAGGGTCCGGCGTTTGTCATCGACCAATAGGGTTCTAATCTGTTGCAGCCATGTTGGTCAGTGTGCGTGCAATTTTTATTATGCCCACGCACAGAGGGTGTGCGATTTTCTCCTCCCTCGTGGAATAATCCCGACTCCATTTCCCTTAGATTACACAATAGGTGCGTCCAAAACTCTTTTTATCATGTAGAAAATCCCCCAAAACAACACGTGTTTACATTAAAAAATGTTTTATGCTTCTTTTTTTGAATTTAATTATGCTAAGTGATTATTTTATATTTTTTATTATTAATAATGAGTCTTTGGCAGCTCTGGCCATTAGCCCCTCGATATTTTCATACTAATCTTAGTTTTAGAAGATAACATTATTAAATATTTTTTGTATTGCGATTCAAAAAAATTCAATATAGTTTTTTAATTAAGATAATGTTCTATTTTTCATTATTTTAAGATTAATGCTTCTAATAATACTTCAAATGTCTCTATTTCGTACGTGCAATGTATTCACTGGATCATTTTTTACTTGTATTACCAAAATAATGTACAAACATACAAACTTGGTAACATACAAAAGTTGCTCGAGTCTTAAAATAAATAGATGAATAATTAATTAGTGCCTTATTATGTATATTTAACAGTTTATGTGAAACCCAAAGCTCTTAGATACGTTTATATTTTGCAATAAATTTTTCGAATGTATAAACGATAAATCCTGAAAATATACCTGAAATGTTTGTATGTTTTACCTCAAACTGTTTTTAACAAAAAAAAACAGATTTAATTTATATTTTATGTAATATTCTTGAGACGTTTTATGAATTCTCAAATTATATTTATTTAAATTAAGGTATTTATTTTCAATTAAATTTTATTNGTTGCTCGAGTCTTAAAATAAATAGATGAATAATTAATTAGTGCCTTATTATGTATATTTAACAGTTTATGTGAAACCCAAATCTCTTAGATACGTTTATATTTTGCAATAAATTTTTCGAATGTATAAACGATAAATCCTGAAAATATAACTGAAATGTTTGTATGTTTTACCTCAAACTGTTTTTAACAAAAAAAACAGATTTAATTTATATTTTATGTAATATTCTTGAGACGTTTTATGAATTCCCAAATTTTATTTATTTAGATTAAGGTATTTATTTCCAATTAAATTTTATTTTTATAAAAATCAGTTAAGCACGTGTTCAATTGATATGAAATTATTTGAATATAATTTGTAATTTACCCAACTCCGTTAATTATGTTAAATTAGCATGCGCATTTCATAAACAACAAAAATGTTTGGTTACAAAGTATTTTAATCTAGACGTCAGTTATCTCCGGTAATAAGAGTTATTCTATTGAATATTACCTGTAATGTTTGAACACCTTGAACACCGAAAGGTTGTTAGTTTGTCTGGGGAGAAATGTTCATAGCTTTCTCTTGTATACCAAAACACACAGAGGATGTATATAGACTATATAATAACAAGGTAACTTTACGGATCCTTCAAGTCAAACAACAAGGGTATAAAATCGATGAGAACGTATTTAAATTAGTAGGGTCAATTACCGGCGGCGGTGGGTCCTAATGCCACGCGCTATCCTCATTATTATTAACAGTGTAGTAGTAGCCGGGCAAAAGAAACTTGGCCGAGGAATCTGAGCATGAAGCGCATCAGTTGTAGCTCAGTAGTGGACGGATGGGGGGGGGAGCAGCGTGGAACGTCAACTTTGACCGGAGTTGCGCAGAACACACTCTGCCGGACCCTGGAATGGACATCGGCCAATCGATACCATACTCGCCAAAACACATTGTGTGTGTGTTATTTTACACTTTTTCCCTTCGTCCAACCGCTAGCCTTGTCGATGCACAATGGAAGTGGTGTCTCGGCCGGCGCAAAAAAGTTTCCTTTTTTTCCCTTGCTCGATGTACTTGCGTATATTACATACGTCGGTATGTCCAATTTATTTTTTGGACCCCTCAGGTTTTTACATGCACGCGTATGTCTATATTATACGGACGCGAGACGTAAAGAAAACTGATGTAGGGAGAAAAAGTTGGTAAAAAGTTTTTATAAGACGTGTAAACACCGTTGGTGGAGAAAGTGAGTAGTGCAAAATGACTTCGGGTGTTTATTTTACGGACATAAAAAGGGAAAATGAAAAGTAAATAATGAAATAAAAACAATAACGTGTAAAAGAATACACACCGACGTTGTCGATCGGCAATATTATTATAATAATTTGCCTAACGACCTTTAAGTGGTTATGACTTACGGGGCGGCAACAGAAGGATTTGTTCGTGTAATTAAGTAGTAATGCTAAATTAGACTCGATTTGAATGGTAAACGCAACACGGGCCCGTGAAGGGTTCCGACACTACTGTTATTAATTAACGGAAACATAAATGGTCAGAAAGATTAAATCAGAAACAAATATAAATATTTGTAACTAAAAACCTTAAAACATGACTATAAAATATAAAAAATAATTGTAAATGAAACCATTAATGTGTTTTACATATTAAATCATTATTTCATTAATTCGTAAATTTTTTAGTAATAACAAATAGATAATTTGAAGAAATAATAACTAAATTTGTTTGTAAACACTATTTTATATTTTAATCGTTTGTCTAATAAAAAATGTTTGATTGATATATTAAATTTAACGTTGATGGACTCCATGTTTATTCATTACTACTCGATAATTACTAAATAATTATCCATGAAAGATCAGTTTTAACTAAACAAATTATAGTTAATCATATTTGTGAGGTTTAAACAAATTATCAATCAATTAAATGAACTTCAAAATGTATCGAATTAAGTACATTTATCTATAACTATTCGAAATTAATATATTTTAAGAACTTTAACAACAAAATTAGATATATTACTCTATTAAATTGCATAAAAATGTAATAGAGTTAGCTTTTTATTTAATAAAACATTTTTATTAAATATTTGGATATTTATAATTCATTGATAAATATAAATAGTTCCAACATTA